TATTTCTGGATAGTCTGCTTGTGTAGGGAATAACCATGGAGTATACCGAGCAAAACATTGCGTTGACAACGCTGAACATGACTTGCCACAGCTTAGACCCCATTGTGATATGGATGTGGAATAATGAGACCCTATAGAGTATTCTGTTCCACACATTTCTTCATATTTCTGTATAGTTTCCAACCAGAACAGCCCACACTATGGAAATGTCCACAGAGGCTATTACAAAAAAGGCTAATGAGATCCTGGGGTTGTATCCAGAGGGATAGAATATAAAAGTGAGGAGATGATGTTGAATTTGTACAAAATCTCACTTAACCATATTTGGAGTATTGTGTACAGTTTTGCTATGCTGCTAATATAAAGGATATATCAGCGATGCAAATAGTACAGTGAAGGCTTACAAGGATAATACCAGGTTTGGCAGATTACTGCTATCAGCATAGACGGGATAGGTTAGGCCTTTGTTCATTAGAGAAGAGATGTTTAAGGAGGAACCCAATAGAAGTATATAAATTATAAAAGGGTTGATAAGGTTAAGATAAATAGGTTGTTTCCACAGGTTGGGGAGTCCACACCCAGGGCACACAAACATAAGATAGTAACTAGGGGATCAAAAAGAAAATTTAGGTGGAGCTACTTCACGCTGAGGGCAGTGAGATTGTGGAGATTGTGTTTGAAGTGGTGGTAGAATCAGATAATATACATGCATTTATAGATCTTCACATGAGGGAGAGTGGAATAGAAGGGTATATAATAATAATCCTTGCATTTGATATAGATATAGTGCCTTATCATGTCTTTGAGATGTCTTAAAGCCCTTCACAGAATATACTGCAAAGTGAATTGACTGTATTTTGTAGGCGAAACGCAGCATCCAATTGCGCACAGCAGTGTCCCATAAACAGTCATGGATTAAGTGATCAAATTTTTTTTATTAATTATTTTGAAGGGTTTATTACCCACGGAAAAGCGATCCGCCAAACAACTAACAACCAGGTTCCTACTTACTGCTAGGTAAACAGTAGCTTGTGGAGTAAGGAAACTTGCCCAGTGTTTCACAATGCCAGGAATCAAACCCAGTTCCTCTCGCTTGCGAGGCGAGTGCTTTAACCACTAAGCTGCAGGACTCCACAGGAGGGAGGGAGGGAGGGAGGGAGTAAAGGAATGGGTTGAGACTTGTGTGAAATTTCAACGCCGGCATGGATTGGTTGAGCCAAGTGGCCTGTTTCCGTGCTGTATATTCTTTGTAAATCTTTGTATTTGATGAATGTCTTAGGAGGAAAGACCATGAATAGGAAGGGTCAAAGTATTGAGTCATTTTATTCTCACTCCCAGCCAGAGACTTGTCAACTTGTCCCTTTAAAAGAGGCTCAGTTACTGGTCAGATTTAATCCAAGATCTCCTTGTTGTGAATCCTATTGTATGGTATCGTACTGTTCTGCTAAATCAAGAGGAATATACTTTCATCTATTCAATTCAACATATGTGACCTCATTAGTGATTGCCTATAAAACTCAAGATGAGGAATATCTGTCAGCACATTAATATTTTTACAGTTTTTGCCTGATACCATTAATTAGAGAATGACTAAATCCCAGAGCAGAAAAGGCTTTACCTTTCTAATATTGAGTATGTATGTGTAGCATAATGCAAGGTCAAGGTGAACTACAGAGGAGAGTTACCTCCATTCTGATTGATGGAATCTGGTAAGATAAAACTTCATTGAGGATGTTTATATCTGTGGAAACAAAGAGTTCTGCAGCTGATTGAAGCTGGACTGCATTCATTTTAATGTGGAAGGGATGTAAAAATCAAACCAAGGCAATAGCTGAAACTGTGTTTGAATACACTGCCTGTATATCCTCAGCCTTGAAGAAAAATATAGGAAGTTGTCCACTATTAATTAATAATTTAATATTTTTTTTAATAAAGATTTGAATTGTTTTTGTTTGTCTTTGGTTTGAATTACATTGATGTGAGGTGACTGCAGATGTGAAGAGTTGGAGTTACTCTACAGGTGCAGAGTAGTGTCTGCATAAGTGAAGAGATGAACGGAGAATACAGATGAAGCGGGTGAAGTGACTGGTGATGTGAGGTGACTAGAAGGTGGGAGGTGAGATCACAAGATTGATTGGGATGAAGAAGGCCATTCGGTCCATCCGATCTCAACCCTCCAGAACACCCAGTCTACCATCCCCCATCACTGCATAACCAGCTTTTTAAATGAGTCAAGTGCTCTGGGCTCCACCTTACTTAGCAACTTTTTCCAGTTATTGATTAGTCTCTGCGTAAAGAAATCCTTCCTGGCATCTGCACTGAAATTGCCCTTTACAATTATAATCCTATGATTTGACATAGTGAGCCACACGTCAACTAACACCCGCTAGATGTCTTTGAATTTTCTCTTTGGCAACTTCAATCCCATCCCTTGAATACTTTTGTTTTGTATTCTTGGATCCTATATGTGGTAGCTTGCATTTACCTGTATTAAACTTCATTTGCCACTTATGTGGATACCCTATCAAACTTTATTTGTAGGACCTTTGCTGCCTTCTCTGATTCCAGGGTTTCCATGGAATCGTGTGGAATATTTTGTTAGACTGAAATCTGAATGTCTGAATGATGAGCATGGCCTACAGATTCCTGCTTCAGTCACCCAGTGTAGCCTCAATTTAACAGTGAGGAATGCAAGTGACCAACTGGGAATTTGTAGCATAAGGCAAATAGTTCCAGTTAATTCAGCATCAGGACCTGAGAACAGTGATCAATGCGTTCATACTTTGTTATAACCAGGTTCAAAACTGACATTATGTGCTGAGATATGAAAGATTGTTAAAATTACACAGAATAATAGACTAGAATACAGCACAGCAACCCCAGAGCACGATCAAATGCATAAAACATTGATCATTTAATGTACCATGCACAAATAATTCCATTTCCTTCATGTAATAGAAGATTTCCGTGCTCCCTGTTTCAGGCAGTTAATTATGATATTTTAATCCGAACAATGTATTTCAAACCTTGGTGTATTGTGTTTAACATTAATATTTGGTTAAAATATTCTGGATACTGTAACAATATTAAATCAAGAGAGTCAAATAAATTGAAAATAATTTTCTCGAAAATGTATTTTCCTTTTTTTTGGTAGAGCACAGATTCATCTCTATTATAGGAAAAGGTTTAAGGTCAGAGAAATCTTAACAACTCGACCTATAAAAATTCAGAAGAAGGTCCTTTCCCGTATTTGATCTCATTTTTTGCAGAACACTGCCTTCCCCTCCCCCACCATCCTCACATCACAGTATCAACCTGTTTTTAAATGAGCTTAGCCTCCTGGCCTCAACCACCTTCCTGACAAACTATTCTAGTTGTTAATTAACCCATCCAGCTTTGGGTATAAAATGACTTTCAAAGCAATAGCCCACTGTGACATTTGAGACAATTTATAAAGCAAAAGGCTTCCAGCAGATTAATATTTAGTAAGTACCCTTCCTGAAGTAATACTGTGTGAAATGAGAATTGAAAACAGTCACTACGCCCTGCAGTTTCGAAGAATATATGGCCACCAATGGTTTGAACCAGGGATTAAATTGTCTCTTACTGCTCAGATAAACTGTTATGAATGACCTGCACATTGTAGTCTTGCCAGCAATATCACTTTATTCTGCTTGTCACAGAATCTGTTCGTCAGCTTTCTCACGGGGGTTGGTTAGAACTATATCCCAAACAGGCATCTCTTCTAAAGAGCTTCAGGCTAATAAAGAAAGATAAAGGAATTTTCAGGTGAATACTGATTGAATCTACTGAATAATAAATAGGTCAAGATGTAAGAACGTTGTCTGATCGATCCTTATGCAGGAAGCTGGAGAAATTGTCAGGATAACGGGAAGCGATGGAGAAATCTGACATCTAATTCAAATAGGATTCTTTAATAAGGGAACTTCACTCCAAAAAACATGTGCATTTGGAGCAGAGTTCCCACAAGGCTGTTTGTTGCCAGTCGTATTCAGTAGAGCTCTATTATAACTCAGTGGTTTGGGTTCAAAAAATGCCAACCCACGTTACAATGGAGCTACAGTAGCCAGTTTCACTGGGAATGTACGCAGGCAACTGCTTGCTTCCTGTGCCCGCTGTGCACCTCAACGCCAAGATGTGATGTCAGCAGTGACTTATTGACCTGGTAGTCAGCCATATTTTTGTGGTTGTTGCCTTCATGAAGAGGACAGCCAGTTGCATGTGTATAATTAATGGATTCTTTCCCATTAATAGTGAAGTTTTGCATAACACTGACTGGCGTGTCCGCCAACAAAAACAGTCACTACCCTTTACAGTATATCCTGTGAAGCGCTTTGAGACATTCTTCTGTCGTGAAAAGCACTATGTCAAATGTAAGGATTAGTATTTTATTGTGATTATTATTAACCATGGTATTAACAGAGCATGATTCCTCTGGTTTCTTGAATGAATCCCCAATTGAATCCCTTATCAGAAATTTTGTTGCAAATCATAGTATATCAAACTGCAGCAAGGAAGGAATCTCACTAGAGAAAGGGCTTGGTACTTTATAATTTAAAAAATTAACAAGAGCAAAAGAGAAAGTATTTAATATTTATTAGAAACAGCTCCTTAGTATAAGTATTGTATATTTTGCACTTGTACTTGTTTCATAGCAGATGTGGATGTTAAATAGATATTACATACTTTAAGGTATATTCTTATGTCCATTTGCCATTGTATAAAAATGTTCGTGAATTGTTTTCTGGACAATGTCTACATTTTGTTTCTGTAACAATTGACAGATTTGTTGAGCTATTGACTTGTTACGATTGGATTTTAAAGTTTGAATTTATAGAATTTGTTGTTTTTAAGCAAATAGGCCTACTTTCATGGCATCTTCTGTCTTGGCCTGTGAAGCACTTTGAGATGTCTTCCCAAAGTGTCTATATCTAATGCAAGGATTATTGTTATTATTTATTGTTATTATCATCTTGCAGGTTTCATATACACGGGTGAAGTTGTTCACCGTATGCTAACTGCCACCCAGTACATAGCGCCACTGATGGCTAACTTTGATCCCAGCGTGTCCAGGAATTCCACAGTCAGATACTTTGACAATGGTAAGCAACATTTTTATTGAACATTTTAATGTAGCAAAACAGCCAGTTCATCCTCCATCCAGTATTGTGTTGATTGGGGTTGTTTCTAAATATGAGAACCGAAATTCCATGTGATCTTCACGTGTAAAATTATTTAGTCTTAAAGGTTGAGCTCCCGCAGAATTGTGGAAAATTCTGAAAATCAGTCAGGATTTGGAAACTGGTACTTTTAAAGAACTGCAGAAAACCAGCTTACAAATTAAGAATGTATTGAAGAATCTTCCATAATTCTGCATGATCTTAAATTGAAGACTTACAGCCTAAGAAGAGATGAAATTTCACACCTTAGTTGATCAAGCACAAAATTATGAAATTGTCTCTTCATGATCAGCTCTTTAATAGCACCGACTAATCCTCCCACATGGGTGAGAGTGGGTGCAGAATTGATGGGTCAAATGACCTCCTGTGCTGTAAATTTCTGATAGATAGCTTTGCGGTCAAGCTCTCAGTAACACATTGTGTAAGCTTCTGCCCTGTTGTCATCTTGTTGTTGAGCTCTGGGATGTTAGCCTCCATGAAGGGTGCGGTAAGATGTGCAAGTTGCACATCTGAACAAATTGTTTTTAGTTTACTTTTTCAATCCCATTCAGCATCTTAACCTGTCGTGGAGTCCTGTAGCTCAGTGGTTAGAGCACTCGCTTTGCAAGCGAGAGACCTGAGTTCAATTCCAGGCAGAGGGCGAAACCTTGGGCAAGTTTCCTTACTCCACACGCCTAATAATAATCCCTCCAAAACCAAAAACAATAATAAATTGGTCATTTTCAATCTACGACTGTTTGTGGGACATTGCTGTGCGTAATTGGCTGCCGCGTTCGCCCACAAATATACAGTCAATTCACTTTACAGTGTGTTCTGTGAAGCGCTTTGGGACGTCCTCCCGACGTGAAAAGCGCTATATCAAATGCAAGGATTATTATTATTATATTATTGGGTTCTCTCTGAGATATCACTTCACAAGGCTGTGATCCTACTTGTGCTTTACTTGTTTCTAATGTTGGGCATTTCCGTGGCTGTGTAGGTACAACTCTGGTCGTGCAGTGGGACAATGTTCACCTACAAGACACTTACGATTTGGGAAGCTTCACCTTCCAGGCCATCCTCCACAGTGATGGCCGAATTGTCTTTAGTTACAAAGAGGTGAGTGCTGCATCACTGTAAACATTCATTTAATTATTTATTTAAATCATCTATCTTTCCTGTCCCTCTCTGAAGTTTATGGAATAAATATGTTCTGTGTTAAAAAAAAATGTTTGCTCACTCAATCCACGACTGTTTGTGGGACACTGGTGTGCGCAATTGGCTGCCGTGTTTTGCCCACAAAACAAAAAGTCAATTCACTTGACAGTATGTTCTGTGAAGTGCTTTGAGATGTCTCGAAGACGTGATAAGGGGCTATAATCAAATGCAAGGATTATTATTATAACATGGAATTAATGACACCCAATATGCTTTTTCAGTTACTCAAGATGCTGTACTCTCTTTAATGCCCAATTTATACCATAGTTCTGTCAGCAAATTGAAAATAAAATTCAAAGAAACATTGGGATTTGTAAAAGATGAGGCGAGGGTAAAACAATGTGCAAAACGTAAGGTTGAGCTCTGTCACTTGAGCACCACTCACTGTACAGCAAGTAGCACAGTTGAATTCTTCCCTCTTACCCCTTCTCTCCTCCCCCCAACCCCCCTCTCACACACATAGTAGAATTGAATTCCAATGATTTAAGACCCAAAACAACCATTCTTACACTCTAACAATAAATGTCCATAAAATGACATATAGTGCTTTGGTATATTGCAACATGTAACTCTGCACCAAGAATTGCATGGGCCTGCATATCGTTTGACAATTTCAGGCGTTGCTTATTAATCTGTACTGTACATCTACAATATTAAGACAAGTTATATGTTGAATTTGGTTGTCCATTTTTGTGCATTATTCAGTTACCTCCAAAAGCCAAATCATTTCTTCACAAGTTTTACAGATCTGCATAGGCTTACATAGACTGAATGGCACAGAAATGGGGCATTTGGCCAAACCAGCCCATTACTAGTGTTTATACCCTACACAAGCCTCCACTCACTCCTTATTCCTTCCCATACCCCTTCTATTTCAAAAGGAGCAAAGAGAATTTTGTCAAAACAATTATATCCCATCAATAACATTTGTATTTGCAGCAAAGAAAGCCTGGTTATTTGTAAATTAAAAGGTTAGCAAACAATCTTCAAACAATCTTCAGTGCTATCTGAGACATTCTTCTCTTTGCTTATCTGTACCACTCTGACCTGCCTAACATGTCAAGAAAAAATGTTATTTATAATCGACTGTCAACAATAAGAATGCAGCAAAATGATCCAATCATCATTTGTGTTTTGCATTGAAACGGCAAATATATTTCAGGCATTCACTATTTATGACAGCATTTTTATCAACATGACTTCAGCCCATTTATTTATAGTAAATATTTATTTATTTATAAAGAGATTTTTGTTCGAATTGAAGAATCAATCACAGAGTGATAAATGGGAGCTACCCAAGGTGGATTCTGAAACCAGCTTTGATTTATGGATATGTTACCATTGAGAATTGTAATTCGTTTACATACAGCCAGGGTGTTGGTACTCCACTGTTTTCATAATTGAAAAATTATGGTTTGGAGTGTTTTACATTCTTTAAACAGTGCACAGAAAGTACTGTTTTATTCCAGTGTAACTGCCTAGCGCATATAAATAGCGGACCCAAATTATATAAAAAATCCATGTTGAATAATTATAGAGATTCAGTTTGAAACACATGACACGCATTTATTTTTCTGCCCTTCAGATTCCTGTTTCCGTGATGCAGATAAGCTCAGCCAATCATCCTGTCAAAGTGGGACTCTCCGATGCATTTGTGGTCGTCCACCGGATCCAACAGATTCCCAGTACGTGACATGAATCATTCAGTCAAGGGTTGGAACTCAGGACAGGACAGTCAGTGGATGACCTGAGCTAGGAGCTAGATATCAATGTATTTCAGTGGAGAGATTTACCTCAAATCAAACTAGCTGCAGAATTATCTTTTTTTCATCAGCCAAGTGCCCATCAGCATGCTTACAAGTATTCAAACAGACAGAGTTCTTCTAGGCATCCCACCAAAACATGGAAATTGCCAAGATACTTATTGAGTCCATGCCCCAGTAACTGGTCTGCTTATGAGCCCAGGCTGGTTGTGCTGTTATCAGCAATGCCCTGGAGTACTGTGGTCCTGCCTGGCTCAGGAACTGGACTACTCAGCCCACCACATAGGGCTGGATTGATTCTGACATTCCATTGCCAAACATGTCACCTCGGAGCAAGTTCAGCTCCAAGTAGAACCCTACTTGCCTGCCCCCTCCCCAGCTGTTCACTTGACATCCGGCAAGCCTAGGTTTAAGCCCTCACGAGGTGGGTGGTGGGTACCAGGTGAGCTACCTGATGAGCCACAGAGCTCAGCATGAAATACATGAGAGCATTGCCGCCCAGTCACACATCCCTTCCCATTGAGCGATGGTTCCACAATTTGGCAGTGTAGAGCATGAGCAGCAACTGCTTACTCTCTGCAAGCCAATCAAGGTGGATTCGATTTACAAACGTGTGTTCGTGAACCTGGACTCGGGTAACACCTTCCAGTAGCTGTCGCCCCATACCTCCCGAGTTTCCTCAGTTATTTATCATTTGTAAACTAAGTGCAAACAGTGGGATTCTGGTCATTAGAAATAATATTTTGGTTCTGCTTTACAAATCATGTAGTGTAGGAACATTTTGTGCCAGGTTTTTAAACAAAAAAGGCTTCCATTGGCAACAGGATTCATTTCACACTGAAGCTCACATAGAGCACACTGGTCAGTCATGAGATGTAAGTGAAATCAGCTGACCCACTTGCGAAAATACTCAAGCATAGTGCTGATTCATGACAGAAGATTTTAGAGCATAATGGTGATAGACAAGTAATTTAAAGAAGGCTGTGAACTTCCCAGACACAGGCAAGGAGGCTGGCAGCATCAGCAAGTAGATTGGGGTTTGGCTGAACTATTAAATAACTTTGGCCCAAGGAACTCCAAGTGTCGGCTGTTCCTTAAGTATGTGTGTTCTCTTCGTGGTTTCTTTTTAGAGATGTTAAATCAACCATGGCTCTAGTCAATTACTGCCAAACTGAAGTGAAAGACTAGTTGCCTCATTTTATTTGTAGGTTCATTGAAATGCTGAGAGAATCTCAATTGCCTGGCTTTTGTCTGCTGGTAATACACCTAATAATTTCTATCGATATGTTGTTATTTCTTTGTTCAGTCAACTCTGGCATTGATTTTTCTGGAAGTTATTGCACTGAATGTTCCCTCAGAGCAATCCTGCTCTGACTGATTGCTATAAATATAATTTACAATGCAGCTTTGTTTTATGCATGTTTTATCCTATGGTGTCACCAGAGGCAGAGGAGCAGTTGATCGTTTTCCTGGAAATTTAATCGGTTTTAAGGGTCTGTCAGTGTGGAAGCTGAACTCTTAACAATGATTGGCTATAATCTGTTCTTATGCCCATTTAAATTATAAACTACACAGCTGCAAAAGGCAAATTGCCTGACTTAATTTGTATTGGGAAAACGATTAGTTCTAAGGCTCCAAAATGAACTTATTTCCCTCAAAGTAGTGATTGTAAACCCACATCAGGTTCAAAACTTTGCCAAGCAAACACACAAAGCCTGAAATTCCACCAATTCTTAGCTTGTAAGACTTTCGTAAGATCTCACCAAATTATGGACAATTCTTAAATGAAGTTTTAAATTGGAAACCAATTATTTTTAACAACCGGGGCAAACCAGCTTTCAAATTAAGCCACAGTCCTGCACAGTGTTAAATTTTGAGACACACTAAGAGATTTCAGACCCACAGTGGCTATACTTGCCAGGAATTCCAATGGTGTTATAGGCACTATATTAACTGTAAGGGATTACTATTATTTTGTTAGGTGTCAGCCTGGTATAAGTTGGTAGTATTCTCACCTGGGAGTCAGGCGGTTGTGGGTTCAAGCTCCAAGTTGGTACTTTGACCTCACACAGTCTATGTTGGTACTCCAGTGGATGCCGTCCTTCAGATGAGATGTTAAACCAAGTGAGGTCCTGCCTGCCTGTTCAGGAGGTGGATGTTCAAAATCCCATCCCAATTACTTGTGAAATGCTTTGACACGTTTCAAAATTATAGTCTCTATATTAAATGTGAATATTCTTACTATAACATGTATCAAACTTAAAAGGCTGGATTTAAATTTACTCTTTCATGTTTTATATTCTACTCACAGGGACACATTAACTGAGTTAAATAATCTATGAATTATTGGAAATTGATATTACAGTTTACCACCATTCTAATATTCATCTTACTAGCTAATGACTAAAAATTCATTAGAAGAAGACACTTTTATTTTATTCACTGTATCTGGACTGTATTTCTCATTACTTTTATTGCAGTGTAGCACACTATTCAGTGCCATTAAGCTGAATGCTTATACCATTGCAAAGCTACTTAGGTAGGATTCTAGTTATCCTGTGATTAAAAGCTATTTAATATTATTGTTTGTTTCAAAACATCACCCAAACACTAAATATTTACTAATTTAAAATATTATATTGTCAATCAATTACATGTTGAACTAAATATCTATACTTTATTAAGAATACATCTTGTTCTTCTCTCCTAAAGTCATGAGCTGATTCACGTTGAGGTATGATTCTGCTCAATAGCTGGAATGGGAATTCTGACTGAATTCTTTTCCCTCCTTAGTTCAGGAGTAATAAGGCTAATTGTAACACCTGACTGTCTAAGATCAGCTAACTCAGCACAGACTGGGGATCAAACCTGAAAAATTTCAGGTCTGGAAACCCAGTTAGACACTTGACAGTGATAACCAACCATCGAACATAACCATTGGAAGAGTTTTAAATTTAGCAGACCAGGGACATAAATATAACAAGCAAGACTTCCTGTAGGATAATAGCACTCCTAAATCATTATCCTATGTGAAATGGCACTGTATCAATGCAAGTTGTTGTATCTTTGGGCACAAGACAGAGATGGCAATGAAATATTTCCTGTTTGGAAGTCCGAAAAATGGCATGAACAGGGAGGCGATTAGTGAAAGCATCATTTTCACTAAGTGCCAGAGATTAGAAGGCTATAATGGAAGATGTCTTTGCTTCAGTGGTTTGAGAGGTAGCGACCCATCCTGACAGAGAGATCACAGGGGTGTGCGTGCACTTCTCCAAACATCACATTAAGAAAGTTAGGCAAATTCGACTTTCATACAACTGCGTGTCTGCACTCGCAGGATGTGCAGTTTGAGTGTTCTCCCATTGTGGAATGTGTCTGGCAGTATAACAGTGTAGCACCGAGAACCCAGAGGATCACAGAACCACTTCTGCTTGAAACAGTTCCATGGTAGCAATGCAGCATTTGGAAAGCAATGGCAAGGTAAATAATAATCTTTGCATTTGGTATGGCACCTTTTTGTTTTGGTCAGATGGGTATCTGACCCTTGCTCAGAATATCCAACAACAACAACAAATTCCATTTATATAGCGCCAGGAGGACAACCCAAGGTGCTTCCAAACCAAAATAGACATGAACATACACATGGCTAACCAAAAGAAAAATGAAAAGTGCAAGATCAAATGCAAGGATTAGTGTTTACTTTGCCACTCTTTGCTGATGCTGCGTTCATATTGACTGGAAAGCTCAAAGTGATTCACTGTAAAGTCCAGTGGCTGTATATTTTGTAGATGAATGCAGCAGCCAATTTGTGCACAATTTAGGCATGTCCCACAAACAGCTTGAAGTGAATGACTAATTTTATCGTGGGTATTCTTAGCCAGGATGCCAGGAGAAACTCCCTTCTCTTTTCAAAAAGCACCATGGGATTTTTTTAACATCCATCTGATATGCAGACAGGACTTTGGTTTGTCTTATCCAAAGGACAACACCTCCAACAATGCAGCGTTACCAACATATGCTTTGCCAACATAGACTGTGAGAGTTCCAAATCCTGATATGCGGCTTGAACCCACAACCTTCTGACTCAGAGCCAAGAGTGCTACTAGTTTAGCCAGGCTTAATAATCATTTTTTTATCTGTAGCATTGGATGATGAGAGGTAGAATAGGACCAGGAGTAGGTCATACAGCCCATAATAATAATAATAATCCTTGCATTTGATAGAGCGCTTTTCACGTCGGGAGGACGTCCCAAAGCACTTCACAGAACACTGTAAAGTGAATTGACTGTATATTTGTGGGCGAACGCGGCAGCCAATTGCGCACAGCAATGTACCGCAAACAGTCGTAGATTGAAAATGACCAATTTATTATTGTTTTTTGTTTTGGAGGGATTATTATTAGGCGTGTGGAGTAAGGAAACTTGCCCAAGGTTTCGCCCTGCCTGGAATTGAACTCAGGTCTCTCACTTGCAAAGCGAGTGCTCTAACCACTGAGCTACAGGACTCCACAGACTCCATCGAGCCTGATCCACCATCCTGTTAGGCCACAGCTGATCTGCAACTTAGTATTATTTGCCCACCTTTTTCTTTATATTCCTGATATCTTTACTAACCAAGTATTTTTCTACTTCACTCTTAACCATTTCCACTGACTCTGCATTAACAGTCCTTTGAGGAAGTGAATTCCACAATTCATTCACTTTGGAATCCATGAACCAAGAGAGATGGCTCCATGGACTCACAACTGGTAATTTCCAGGCCTGTGCTTTCCTTAGTTGCTATGTTAATGGAATAAACCAACACTGATGAATAAGGTGCTTCTTGGCAAAATTGTCAGGGAACCTTCGAAGCACATGGTTGAGAGTTCCCATGGAAACGGGATGCATTCTGTCTGAGTGTATGTATTCCCCGCACCTCTCAAGCACTATACAGTGCATTCTGTCAATGGAACCAATACTCCCCATTGGACAAACATAGCGTGACTAGTTGTAATGATTCTTAATGATGTTCTGGCAGGAACCTCCTTGAAGAATAGCTTAGTTACTAACCAGCAATTATAAGTGCTGCTGTGCTATTCTTCATGAATGTCATCAATAATGGCCACACACACAAAAGTGAAGGAGGTAAATGGACATGACTTTGTTCTCAGTAAAGCTGGCCTATTCTCAGTGAGTAGGAATGGAGCCATGCTTCATTGTCAGAGGCTGCAACCCTCGAATAATTGTGCCTCAAATAATCAATCCTGCTTATTGAGAAAAGCCAATTCTTCTCAGAAGGCGAGCGCTATATTGTCGTTTGCTGTTAAATGTACAATTAGTTCACCTAGAAATGTTGTACCTTAATTACTCTTTTCTTTACACTCCATATAAAATGGCAACTTTAATCATTGATTCAATGGCAGTCAGTTGAAAGAATAGTAGCAGAAAAATCTAAAGCCCCCACACTTTGCAACAAAGCAACCCAACTTCAAAAAAAATACCTCTGACTCTGATGTCGATTTGGAAAGTGGATAATTGAGCACCAGAGTGATTAGATCCGGTGATTCTATCATCATGTATTTTAATGGTATTCAAGTAACATTACACATGGAGCTGTCTTTGAAAAATATTGTACTTCAAGTAAAAGATAATAAAAAAATTTACTTCAATATATGAGTGCAAAGCTATTAATTCTTGTGACAAAGAAAGCAACCAGTCGAGGATCAATAACATAGGATGTAACAATACAGAGATGTTCAGTGTTGTTCTTGATGTAATTTTGCACATTTGGGGATTCAGATTCACAAATCTCTAAAAGTAGCCACACAGGTAAGCTATGTAAAAAGCCCATGGGGTTTGGGGATTTATAACCAGAGGGATAGAGTAGAAAAGTGAACAGGTGATGTTGAATTTGTACAGAAACTTGTTTAGGCTACATTTTGGAGTGTTTTGTCCATTTCTGGCCTCCACACTAAAAGACCAATATAGCACCGATGGAAGGAATGCAGCATAGGATAACACTAAGGCTGGCAGGTCACTGATATCAGAATAGACTGGATAGGCTCCGCCTATTTTCGCTAGAGATGAAATGTTTAAGTGGGGACTTAATGGAGGTGTTTAAAATTATAAAAATAGTTTGAGAAGGTGAGCATAATTGATTGGGGAGTCTGTAACCAGAGACAGAAATATACTATAGCGACAAGGGGGATCTATAAGAGAATTTATTAGGAGCTACTTCACGCAGAGGGTAGTGAGATTGTGGAACTAACTGCACGAAATGGTGGTTGAATCAGATAGTGAAGATCCATTCAAAAGGAAGCTTGACCTCTACATGAGGGGGAGGGGAATAAAAGGTTATGGGAAGGAGTAAGGAATGGGTGGAGACTCGTATGGAGTAAAAGCACCGATATGGACTGGTTGGGATGAGTGGCCTCTTAGTAAATGGAGTGGGTAAGGTTCTTTTGTAAGTGAACATGGTATGTGGAAGGAATGGGCTGAATGCCTTTATTCTCATTTTGTACTCCTACATTCTTTTAAAAGCTTCACTTAAACCATGCACATGTTCTGAAGCCAGTACTCAAAGAAATAAGTGGACATTTGTGGTTCATGTTCTTACTGGGATAAATCGATAGGCAACATATTCAAGAAAAAAGTGCAATTTAAGTGATGGATTAATCAAGTCTCGTGCACAGTCACAAAATCAACAACTTTAAAGCATCACACAGAAATGCAGATATTGCTTTGATAGGTATTGAACCAATTCTCAGTTTGAACAGCTACAAATAAATCCATTTCAGGTGAATAGTTGACGTCTGAAGGAAGCATTTAGCAGCTCAACAGAATATCTTTAGAAATATCAATTACATTAGTGAACTTTCTTAATGATGATTAAATGTCTGCTTTGTCCTAGTTTGTAGCTCGGATCCGAGATATTTTCTGTAAAACTACAGGGTAATGATAGAAATGATGAAAAAATAAAACTGACTTTATTGGAAGGAAACCAAGATTATAGTTCGTAAATGCTATACTTTATCAAACCTTAATGCAGGATTGGGGGTGTGCTGCATTGTTGGAGGTGGTATCTTTTAGTTGGGACATTAAACTGAGGTTACCATCTGCCTGTTCTATCGGACGTTAAAGATCCCATGGCACTATTAAAAAAGAGGAGGGAGTTTCTTCCAGTGTCTTGGTCAACAATGCTCCAATAATATTGGGCATTCAAACTTTTTGTGGTACATCATTGTACACATCACCTCCAGTGTTCCACACAGGAAGTGACAGCTGAAGTAGCCATTTTATAACGGGCCTCATTGTATCGCACACTCTGATTCTGTGTACCCAAACACTGCTTTGTAATGGGGTCCAACTGTATTAGCAATAGATTTTGGGAACCATAATTGTTAATAGAGCAAATCAGATGTTTTCAACAAATAACTACAGGATTTAACTTAAAATGAATTTCAAACCTTTTGAAACTCTTGACTGCTTTGTTGCAGATGTTCGGAGAAGAACAATTTATGAATACCACCGGGTTGAACTGTCGATGTCAAAGGTCACTAACATGTCTGCTTTTGAAATGTTCCCTCTTCCCAGTAAGTAACCAGTTTGTCAATTCAATGTTAGTTTCTTTTGATTTTAATTCTTTATTTTGTGGAAGTTTGAATGTACAAAACTGCAATAGCTGATTTGACTCGGTGAAATTAAAGCAATGGGAATGATAACACGCAAACTGGGACTATCCTAATTTATTAAGGGTCAGCTGGGTTTCTAACACACGAGAGAACCCATAACCATGCTTAGCTGGATCCAAACCAGACTGAGAGTTCCACCAACACATTTGCATACCACCTACACAAGGAAACTTTGCTGTATATGGAATGGAATGTCACTCTTTTCCTAGAGGGACGCATTCTGATTATCTAATTTGAGAATATTAAGCACAGGATGGCAAGAGTCAAGGTTGGGGCTCTGTCTGGCAAGCTTCCCACTGCTTGCCCAGCTAAATCCACTGTACCCATTAAATCCTTTAGCTTGCAGGGTTAACAGGAGCTGAGTGGGCAGAGTCCCTGCTCCCAATGAATGGGTAGGGCCACCACACACCAGGAAACTCCCAAGGTTAGATCTTGGGTCTATGCTGAGTTGGCTGATCTCAGTCGGCTACAATAGATCAGCTCATCGATCAGAAAAATCAGTGTGGAATGTAGGGAGTGCAGTGTAGTCACCCATGAAAATATAAAACAAAATAATCAAAGCTAAACTTTAGTCCCAGATGCCGGGATTCAGAATTAAAATCCATCCTTAAGTAAAAACAAAAATGGACACAAGTGAACGCATTTTTGTTGCTTGTGGTAATTATAGGCAGAGACACTGGGAGCTTATAATTGTTGCAAAAGGATGCTGCAAATCAGTTTCCTGAGAACTAAATGAGGACTGAAATTAGGGAGTGATCTCATTCTTTAGTCCGTATAATTCATTTTAAAATCAGCTTGATGCTATGACGTGGGGGACAAGTAGGGTAGAAGGGATGAGATCAGATGGGCTGAAAAGCCTTCCTTATCAAGACTGATCTTGTGTGATCAAATGGATGTGTGAGCTTTTTCCAGCTCCCAAGTGGTTTCATTGCATCTGAAACTTGGAAGAGTTTTTGTAAACTATCTCCCATGTCTCTTGCCAGAAACGAGTTTTGTCAAAACATTTTAGAATTATATTGGTCCCTGGAATAATATCATAATTGCATTTTGTGGTAGGATTGTGTTTAATCCCATGTTTGTTCTACCCTAATTCTCTGACCCTTCGACTTGTCACTTCCAGCTTGTCTCCAGTACAGGAGCTGTGCCACCTGTATCAATACGGAGATTACCTTCAATTGTACATGGTGCAACAAGCTCCAAAGGTAAGGCTGCTGTTCCTGTAAAGAATCTGTACCAGAGAGATAGGTCATTTCACGGAACCGCTGCGAAATTGAAGGAACCTGGTGAAGCAGCCTATTGCACTTCTCAGCTCTTGATATCTGCATCTGATTTTGTGAAATGAATACCGTGGCTAATGTTTTGTCACCTGCACTGACCAGTTGTAGAGCGTGACTAAGTTGCCTTTTGCAGAGCTCAAATGCGAACCCTTTATTAATCGTGTTTTAAAACCCAAGCTGCGATCTTTCAGGATGAATTTAAAGCACTCCTTAACCACTTATACTTTAATAATAATAATAATAATAATAATAATCCTTGCATTTGATATAGCGCTTTTCACGTCGGGAGGACGTCCCAAAGCGCTTCACAGAATATACTGTAAAGTGAGTTGACTGTACATTTGTGGGCGAACGCGGCAGCCAATTGCGCACAGCAATGTCCCACAAACAGTCATAGATTGAAAATGACCAATTTAATTATTGTTTTTGGTTTTGGAGGGATTATTATTAGGCGTGTGGAGTAAGGAAACTTGCCCAAGGTTTCGCCCTGCCTGGAATTGAACTCAGGTCTCTCGCTTGCAAAGCGAGTGCTCTAACCACTGAGCTACAGGACTCCACTTTATGGTTCTGGTAACTGTATGCTGTGTTCTGCTTTCCTGCAGCAGGCCTGCGACTATACAAAAGCACTCAATTAATTTTATGACTCCTGAATAAATTGGCTTAATTATGTGACACAACTTGAGTGAAAAATTATTGGTTACACAGTCAGCTCCAAAAGCAAGTTAAATTGAAGCGATGGAGTCCCAAACTAGGTGGTAAATGGTATCAATCAGAAATCGCTCTTGTCACTATTTCCCTTTTCACCGTTACTAACTGATTTCAGACCAGACATTGCTTTAAGTGGTAAAATCTTCTAACCACCAGCAAAATCGATAAGACGGTTAGCAGCAGAATATTACATCCAAGTGATCCTAGCCTCTTTGATTTTGTATTTTTGCATTCGGAACTGATGAAAATAGTTCTTTTGAAAATACAATTTAAATTTATATGGCACCTTTCACATCCGGAGGACATCTCAAAGTGCTGGATGTGCACCCAAGCTAGGGTTGGGAGCCGAGGGCAAATGGTGAGGGGAAAGATAACCAAAAGCGCGGGCAAAGAGGTACATTTTAAACATGCCTTAAAAGTGGGGTGGGAGGGAACAAGTTGGAGAGACTCCGGGATGGAATTCTGGAGAATGGGTAGCAAAATAACCGAACCTGGATGCCGATGGTAGGGCATATAGGGCAGGGACATGAAAAAGGCTGGTGCTCACTGAGGAAAGGGAAAAGTTTCTATTTTTCACTAAGTCCTAAGTCACTAAGTTCACCAGACACAAAGTAGAAGACAAAACCCTCCACAAAATTCTGGCCTTGTGTTAATCACCACATCGCATACCTAAATTCACCCCCCGCTCTTATATAGAACGGAAAAGTACAGGCATTGAGCAAATATGGAACAATGTTTTTTTTTAGCAGGATTGTTTGGGTGGGGATCAGTCTGCATTTAAAAGGAAGTATATTTAGTTTGGCCTCTTCCATTAAAAAAAGTGGCATTAATTACGGAATGAGCCTGAGACTGTGAAGCATTTGCTGAACCACATGAAACTACAGAAAGGTCAACGCAATTGTATTATTTATTTTTGGGTCAGCCAGGTGTCTGACACATGCGGATACCCATCACAATGCTTAACAGTATCCAAACGAGCTGAGATTTCCATGCATCCCACCTACACGTGGAAATCTGAGAGATAGATTGTTGCTGAAGGGATGCTTCCTGTTTACCTAAGTCTGGAAAGTGTTAGGCGCAGGTTGGCAAGAGCCAAGGCTTGGGGCCCCCAGAGTGTGCGCTGATGGAAATGTTGAAAGCTTGAACATATTAGACACAACATATCTGATTACACATATAAAAGTTGGAGGTCATTTTGCAGCATTCCAAATATATACGCAACACAACAGAAACAGTTTGCTATCAATTTATAATCCTTCACAACGCAAAATGTGAATCACGATAGCGATTCGGCCATTTAAAGCCTTTCAAGGCAAAACTGTGAACCACCCATTCATGCCTGTATGTTGTGCCTTAAATAACTATGTTAGTGATTTTTCTCTTGTCAGCGTGAATTACATTTGTGGAGTCCTGTAGCTCAGTGGTTAGAGCACTCGCTTTGCAAGTGAGAGACCTGAGTTCAATTCCAGGCAGGGCGAAACCTTGGGCAAGTTTCCTTACTCCACACGCCTAATAATAATCCCTCCAAAACAAAAAACAATAATAAATTGTTCATTTTCAATCTACGACTGTTTGTGGGACATTGCTGTGCACAATTGGCTGCCGCGTTCGCCCACAAATATACAGTCAATTCACTTTACAGTGTGTTCTGTGAAGCGCTTTGGGACATCCTCCCGATGTGAAAAGCGCTATATCAAATGCAAGGATTATTATTATTATTATTATTATTTGCAATACTACCATATGTGCGTAAAGGACAAAAAATTCTGAGAATTTGAAATTGATCACACTGTGAGATTTAATTTTATTTAAAAATTTCCTTTGGTACCAAAATTTCCAAATAATTGCCTTATTTCAAGACCTGAGTGAACTATAATTTATCAATGGTAAAGACCAACGCATTGCAGGGGTATTGGGGCCTAACATGATCTGCTCACAAACATTAGCAAACCTTTGATCCCATTGAGAGCATGGAAAGAAAAGTTTGCTAGTGAACAATGGGTTTTGTATCCTTCTATTTACTCCTCAGGACTTGGATAGTGAACCCTGGTTGATTTCTTTCTCTTTCATATGTCAGGGACATTGAGGCTAATTGTATATTCCTCATTGTTACCTTCACTTCTTACTTCAAATGGATTAAAATTGGGATGCTTCTGGGCCGCATGGGTCTCTACACCGTTGGGTGATGCACACGTATTATGTAAACTTGAAAATGTTTTCTAAACGATAGCAACAAATGGTAAAAAATGTGGCTGCTCTACATTAAGAATCAGAATGAAGCATCAATGATTGGATTAGTTACGGCAAAAATACTTTTAAACTTTATGTTGTGTCACTTATGTATCGCATCCTTTGAACTGAGGTATCATCTGATCATCTGCCTGTTGAGATGGACATTAAAGATCCCACGGAACTATTCAACAAAAGAATGTGAATTTCCTCCCAGTATCCTCCTGGCCAGCAAAAAATTATTTGGTATTACCCGGATAAAATTGATCACTAACTTCAAAACTGTTTGTGGGATATTGCTGTGCACAATTCTCCGTATCAATTCGCTGCCTCTTTGAGATGTTAGGGATATCTTACGTGATAAGGTGCTATATCAAAAGCAAGAATTATTATCATTAATACTGCTGACAAAAGTACCCTGTCACTAGATAGGCAAAATGAGAAATATAGCGCAGATCATACAAGGCAAGCCCATAGATATAACTTTGCTACAAATTGGGGCCATTATTTCAGTGCACAAGCTGTTCTGACTAACTTTATTAGTCGTAGAGAGGTGCATTTGCTTGTCAATTAAGTGTCTGACACATCCCGAAACCCATAACCATTCTTAAAGAGTATCCAAACCAGACGGAGAGTGCCATATACTCACTTACACTTGGAAATTCCCATATTTGGGATAAAATGCACTCTCTCTCAACAGAGGGATGCATCCCACATACCTAATCATGGAGAGTATTAACCACAAGTTGGCATAAACTATTGTTGGGGATCCAGAGTACGTGTTGAGATACTGCTGGAGTATAACCGGCTAAAACCACATGGCTTATGATTGAAAGCACTTTCCGCCAAGCTTCCGGCTGCTTATCCAGCTAGGACCATCCTACCTGTTAGGGCTTTGGCTTACAGATTTATACTATGAAAATGGCCGTGTTGTTTCAGAATCTTGCATCAAAGTGGAACTTTTGTAACAGCAAAAATCTCTTTGGCAGTTTTCACCCTTGAGGAATCCCTTGAGAGTTTCAAACAAAATTTAACAAGTCAAAAAAAAACTATTCCAGGACTTCATCTCAATGGGCCTCACAAAGAAGTAGAGGACATCCAGTCATTATATTAGGCAGCTTGCCATCCATAGAGCTTTTCATACAGAAATACCCAGAGAGCCATTAATTGCAGCCTAGATTTGCCTATGGCACCTAGCATTTAGCACAGCCAGCCAAATGCCTGCCAGCAATAGCTGCCCAAATGCATTTCAAAAGCTACTTGTCTTTCCTTAATGAGGTAATTGGCATCCTAGATTTAATCTCAGGAGGGTTCCTGAAAAACTGTCCTTTAGATAGCAGTAGTCTGCTCTCAGTTGGATCTGCCAGTGATGCTGGAGGAAAGCCAATTGGACCTTTCCCAGTAATTACCTTTATGAAGGCCAAATTCTGTACTATCGAATGCCAGTAGTTTATATGCTAAATACAGGCAATGAACTATTGGATGTGTTGCCTAGATGTGGAGTCCTGTAACGTAGTGGTTAGCGCACTCACCTCGATTCCTCGATCTTAGGCAAGTTTCCTTACTCCACACACCTCTGTTTACCTAGCATTAAGTAGGAACCCGGTTGTTAAGTCAATTGGAGGATCACATTCTGGGGGTAATAATCCCTCCCCCCAAAAATAAACTAGTCCACTCAATCCACAACTGTTTGTGGGACACTGCTGTGTGCAATTGACTGCACGTTTCACTCACAAAAATATAGCCACTGTAAGGAAAAATTTAAAACATGCACATTTGGTTTGTTTAAGTCCAACCTAAAGAATCACTGGCAAAATCCTGAACTCAGTTTGATTGCAAATCCTTTGTCAGGCTATTCCAACTGAACCTGTTGACTCAGTCATCTTCAGAATCATTGAGATGGCATCAGATGAGTCTGTATCTGCTTGCCTAGTTGGAAACACCCTACTTATTTGGACTTTGGCTTTCAGCGTTAACAGGAGCAGAGT